GAGACCCACAAGGCCAGGACCAGGGTCCTCACCCGGGGCATGATGGGAGGCCCACAAGGCTAGGACCAGGGTCCTCACCCGGGGCATGATGGGAGGGTGGTCATGAGCACCCAGTGAAAATGACGGCAGAAGGATCTGTCCTCTGGCTTATGGCCAAGACCCCCACAGGACCAGGCTCGCCGTGACCCGTGGACGCTGTGAGGAGCACACGGCAAGGGGCTGCCCAGACCCAGTGAACCTCTCTCCAGGGACTCCTCAAAAGTGGCTGCTGCTCTGTCCCGCACACGGGCTGGCTTCTGCTCCCTCATTAATGTGCGGTGAACACTTTCACCACATCTTTTCAGTCATTTTCCATCCTTACCCAAAGCGCAGCTGGTCCCAGCAAGTCGATCCCGACTCACAGTGACCCTGCAGCACAGGGTGGAACCTTCCAAGGCTGTTTCCGGCCCGCAGTCTTTGCAGAAGCAGACTGCCACATCTCTCTTCTGAGAAGCGGCTGCTGGGTTCGAACTGCTTGACCATCAGAGTGGCAGCCATGGGTTCCACCCACTGTGCAACCAGAGTTCCTCTTTCTGCCCCTAGGACCACTGAGTTTTTCTAACTGAAGAGAAAACTCGTCCTCTTTGCTGGCTTTGGCCCTGAACATAGGTTTCTTGGCTCCCCTGGGACAAAGGCAGCGTCCAGCCTGGCCTTTCTGGCTGCCCGGGGGTGGGGTCGGACGGAGGGTGGGCAAGGTGTGTAGGGAGCTGCCCAGCCCAGGAGGTATCTGATGCTGCCTGGCTGTGGGGGAGAAGGGGTGGGGAGCAGTGAAGAGAGGCTCTCTCCAGGGCCACCTGGTAGCAGCCAGCACCCAGCCTGGGCCACACTGGTTGGGCCACGTCTATGACCTGTGGCAGGGTGGGCTGCTGTGCCAACCTGGGCCAGAGGTGCTGGGAGGGAAGCCCTGGGTGGTGGGCAGTCCTGCCAGCGCCGCCTCAGACACCATGTGCCAGGGCACTGCTCAGGGCACAGGTTCAGCACCCTGGACAGAGGGCCAGCTCGCTGCTCAGAGCACCAAGTTCTGCCCCCGCCCCATGGGAGCGGACTCCCTAGCCCTGTCCTTCCCACACGAGCTGTGAGGATGAAGAGGACGGTGGCCGGGGGAGGCTGGTGACCATGAACGCATCGTCCACGAGGAGGAAACCACGGTCACTGCTGTGGAAGCAGACGTGTCTCCCCAGATGGAGCCAGAAACAGCTCCCTGTCATGGGGTGTGGGAAATGACCCTCTGTCACCTGGGGGCGCGGAGCATGTGGGCACAGCTGTCCCTGCTGAGGCCCAGGAGCGGAGGCCCACGGCCCCGGTCAGCACTCACCTCTTGCTGTGAGGAACAGGGAGTTGTTGAGAGAGCTGGACCCAGCTGCCAACCGTTTCCTCTGCAGGAGACAGAAAACAAGACAAAAGCCAGGATGGGCAGGGCCTCTGCCACCTGGGACAGCCCCCCCTGCCCGGGTGGGGGTACGGGGGGCCGGACAGGCTCCCCAACATCCCCGCTGAGGCAGACTTAGGATGGCCTCCCCTGCCCGGGTGGGGGTACGGGGGGCCGGACAGGCTCCCCAACATTCCCTCTGAGGCAGACCTGGGATGGCCTCCCTTGCCTGGGTGGGGGTACGGGGGGCTGGACAGGCTCCCCAACATTCCTTCTGAGGCAGACCTGGGACGGCCCCCACTGCCCGAGTGGGGGTACGGGGGGCCGGACAGGCTCCCCAACATCCCCGCTGAGGCAGACCTGGGATGGCCTCCCCTGCCCGGGTGGGGGTACGGGGGGCTGGACAGGCTCCCCAACATCCCCGCTGAGGCAGAAGGGACAGACGTGGGGGGATGCAGGGGCAGCAGGGGACCCTGCACCCACCTCTGTCCCGGTGGCACCCCAGTCTGCCTCAGGAATGGGGTGTCGGAGACCCCAGATCGAGGCAGGTCAGTAACAAAGCTAACATGCTGTCCTGTCTGTCTCCTGTACCTTACTGCTCGATGGTGCTGGAGCCGTGTGGGGCCTTGCAGTCAGTGTCTCCCCTAACGGTCCCCAGCCACCCGGGGAAACGGCCACGACAGACGGCTAGGAAGCCACGCTGGAGCCCGAGGCTCGGTGTGACCCTCAGCGGTTCGGATTCCCCACCGAGAAACCCCGCTGAACACCGTCCCCTCCTCCCTCCCAGGACCGCCGTGCTCAGTCCCTCCCTTCTGGACCCTTCTCTCTGGGTCAGCTTATCCGCAAAGCACACACTCAGCCCTGCAGCTGACCGCAGGCTCTGCAGACGAGGCCCGTGTGGCCCCGGGAGGCCCGGGTGCCGCACTGCTGTGACCAGGCCCACGGCCCCGCTTGACCCAGAGTGAAGAACCCAGTGGTCCCTATGGCTGGCACATAAGCCAGACCCCTGGTGCAGCTCCTACCACCAGGAACCGGATCGTCCCTGATCTGAACTCGGAAGGGGAAGAGAGGGCTCATCACTTATCATCACCCCGGAATCCGAGCCTCGGGAGGGGCAGGCGAACCCGACGGCGGGGGTGTGGGGGGCCTGGGCCCGGCCCGCCCTGCCCTCCTGCGGGTCCCGCGGCGCCCCACCTCGGTCTCCAGGAGGCCGCTGTACGCGGGGTTGGCGGTGCTCCTCCTCTTCCGCTCTTGGCGTTTGCTCTGGATTTCTGGGAAGGAAGACACGGGGTCACCGGGCCTGCTTCCAGGCTTGCTCTGGCCCCCCCACGCCCTCCTTCCAGCCCGTGGCCTCTCTGCCGTCCAAAGCCTTATCCGTAACCCGGCACCCATGCCCCAGCTGGGCTGGGGCCTCCAGGGCTCGCTCATTCTGTCCTGGTGGCCTCACACTGTGACAGGCGATGTAGGGTAGAAGGTATTCATGGGCCCCTCTCAGCGGGGTCCCCTTCTGTGTGGCCACGTGGCCTCTCTTGGGGACAAAAGACTCAGGCCAGCTGAGCTGCAGGGCAAGGCACCCGGCTGTGGGGAGGCCAGGCCCCAGGGGCCTTCCCCGAGTCTTGCTCAGACCGAGGCCTTTCCTGGCTTTGCGTAGGGTCTGCCTCGGGCGCCGGAACATGATCCCTGCAGACTGACTGCTCTGACGGCTAGGAGGCTCTAAGCCAAGTATCTGGTGCAGCCCTCGGGACCACTGCCTGTCGGGGTGTAAAAGGGCTTCCCTGCTTCCTCTTTCCTGGGACCTGAGTTGTGTTTTTAAGCCTTTTCTGTAGAACTGGGTGTGTTCCAGGAAGTCATCTCAGAGCCTCTGCGGAAGACAGAGCCCCAAAACACAGCTCTTTAGAACGTCGCAGGGGAAAAGGGTTCAAAACAGAAATACAGGCACCCCTCAGCTGCTGCAGGTTCCAGACCCCCGCAGTAAAGCGAGGATCACAGGAAGCGAGTCACACCGAGTTTCTGGTTTCCTGGGAAAGTTATGTTTACACCAACCACGCTATGGTCTATGAAGGGTGCTGTAGTGTGATGCAAGAGTGAAATACCGTGAGAATGACCCAAACGGGACACACAGACATAAGGGGCCAATGCTTCTGCAGCAACGGCGCCAGCACACTTGCTCGGCGGAGGGTCGCTGCAGACCTTCCATGTCCAACAAGCAGCGTCTGTGAAACGTGATGAAGTGAATGAAGTGTGATCGAACGAGGTGAGCCTGTGACGGGGTCAGAAACGCACTGGGAACGCACCTTGATCCCAACCCCTCAACAACCCTGCTGAGCATAAAGATGGAACGTCCCTCGCGTTGCAGACGTGGAAACGGAGGGTCAGAGTGGGGTCACGAGATGAGAGAGGGGCACAATGCGTTTGGGGCCGATGCCCACGAGCTGGGTGTGCCTGTGTACACACGCGTGCCTGTGCGCATGTGTGCCTGAGTGTGCACACGCGTGCCCTGCCTAGCTTGTCTCTGTGATGACGATTAAGCCCGACCTCTGGCACTTGGTGAGGCTCTCCCAGAACGGGGTTCGTGATGGCTGCTGACATCGGACCCAGGGCGCCCGAGGCCTGCAGCTTCTCTGTGATGCCACACCCGCCCCTGGGGAGGTCCCTGGAGGAAATCGGCCGGCCCCCACCCCGGCTGGGGGGCCAGTCCCAGCTCAACCTGCCACAGCCCTTACCTTCCAAGTGCTCTGTCGTAACCAGGCCCAGTGCTACCATGAAGGCGATTTTCTGAGGGAGACAGACAGGAGCGTTAATGTGGCCTTCAGTGTTCAGTCATCCAACATGTTGACACGACGCTCACTCTGCGCTGGGTGCTGGCCCCACAATTCCAGACACCAAGTCAGCTTCTAGGGGACCCTTGGAGAATTGGCCCCCAGACAACAACGCCCTTCACAGGTAACGTCAGGAGAGCAGCTCAGGGGGCCTGAGGACTCCTGCAAGGGCCCGATAAAGACATCTTTTCCACACATTTCAAAACCTAATGGGCAGAAAGGAGCCTGGTGGTGCGACGGTGAAGCACCGAGTTCACTGCTGGGCTCGCTAGCCGAAAGGCTGGCGGTTCGAACCCACCCTGTGGCTCCACGGGAGACAGCCCAGGCGACTGCTTCCATGAAGATCACAGCCGAGGAAACCACAGGGGACGGTACCCCTCTGTGCACGGCATCGATGCGACAGTACGTCAGCATCAAGGTGCATAAAAGCACGTCACCACACTGCTTGTGTCTGCCACCCTCCTGACCGTCCCTCTCGCGGTTCTGCTGTTTGTTAATCCAGCAAGAAACTGACTACTCGTGAACTGACCAGCGGACTCAAAACCCAAAACTTGACGGTAGGCTGCACCCGTCCACCTTCTTCCCTCTTCTCGACCCCTTCAGTCCGCCCAGTAATTGTTCACTTGAGTTTTGCAAAGATTATCCCTGATTTCTTAAATATACACACTAATTTGATCACTTATGTCTACATTAGACATGACTTAGTTTGACCTGTTTTCTATTTGACTTTATAAGAGGGGTGTCACACTATGTGCACTACTGTGGTTTGTCTCTCCCCTCTGTGTTTTTCTGTGGTCGGTGGCAGGTAGCATTCTTCGAGAGCCCCAGGACCACCCCCCGTGTGAGCACCCAGCATAACCCTCCCCTGCAGCTGGCGATCAGAACCACCCAGAGGCAGCAAGGAGGGAGGGATGACAGGCTGCACCATGAAGATCGCTGTCAGGCGCCGTGAGTGGCCTCGACGCACAGCGACCCCACAGGACACAGCACAAGTGTCCCCTAGGGTTTCCGTGGCCGTGATCTTCACAGGAGCAGACTGCCAGCCAGGAAAGCCCCATGGGGGAGTCTGACTATGTAACACGTGGGGGTGCCATGAGTGGGTTTTCCTGCCTGCAACGGGGACTGTGAATACACTGGGACAGCGGCTCCCTTCATTAGGTGCACGGCAAAGGGACAGATGCATCCAGGCACAACACAGGTCTCTCCTCGCCTGGAGCAAAGAGGAGTGAAGAAAACCAAAGACGCGTGGAAATAATTAGTCCAAGGGACTAGTGGACCATGGGGACCTCAGCCCACATGGCCCTGAGACCAGAGAATCAGACAGTGC